TAGTTCAAAAAAAGAAAAACCAAAACAAAACCAAAAAACCACCCCAAAGGGCATTACAGTGCATTGTTTTGAGTTGAATCTATTCCTGGAACAAAAACATTCACCCACAGACTGGGGGCTCAGCAGGACAGAGCAAATATGTACTCATAAACTGGGGTATGCCTACCCATCACTTGGGAACAACAACAGAAAGGAGGCATGCTGTGCTATGCATCTGTTCTGAATTGTAACAGCAGGAAAGAGGAATAACGTTTTATCAGATTATGCATGCTGACCTGTACAGTTCTTACAGGTATTTTGCATCTGACAGAACAGTCAGTTATTCAAAAGGGTCTGATGTTAAGCTTCGTTTAAATTTTCCCTTGCTCCTGCTGGAAAGCTGTGCCAGGCCCAGGCAGCGGTAACTCTCTGAGGGTACCTGAGAATATGTATGTACCCTTGTAAGACTAAATTAAACTCACAGCTGCTTCAACACACCTCTTCTCCCTGGACATTGCTTCCCACTACCCCCATCCCATGGGATGGGAATTCCCACCCATTCAAGCCAAGAGAGTCACTTACTGCAGCACCATCCTGGAGCAGGCCAGCCCACAGTCCCAGTGGTAGAGCTGCTGAATGACTGGCACTTTCAGCTGGATGCAGTCAACTGCAGTGAAAACACCCCAGTGTGAGTAAAACACGGAAGATGTAAGTCCAGACAGGAATGGGGTTTCCATACCTTGGCATTAAAACTCTGCTTGTCCTCAGCACTATGGTTGTGGAAACCTGGGAACGTGTTTTTAATTTATGTAACTGGCAGGTATTTTTGTCTGTCTGAGGGGGATGTAGGTGTGGTACTTATGTACAGTTAAGTGTTTGGTTTAATCTTGTACTCCTTTACTGTTCCATACCTGGATTGCTCTGCTGTATGATACACCCCCTTCTCCTCTGAATGTTTCATGTTACTCTTTTTGGTGGGGTGACATCCCACCAGCCCACACTATGAAGCTGTATCCCCTCCGAAATAATAGTAGGTAAGGCACAGGTATTCATCCTTTCTCTTCTGTCTGAATCTATTTCTGTGCCACAAAAGGAGTTAAACCAAACTGTGAGAAAACAGATACAACCAAGATCTCCAGGTACTGATCTCCTACAAGCCCCACAGATTTGAGCCTTTTCTACAGCTGTCTTTTTCCTCAGGGGTTGTAATTTGCTTTGAATAATTCCTGGTTAGCAAAGCTCACAAATGGCACCAGTTGCCTTTTGTATTAACTACCTCAATAACTCAACAAAGGGAGAGGGGAAAAAGAACAATCTCTACCAAGAAGTCCCAGAATACCATAACTCCATCCCTCTGCCTTAGTTCTTTTTTTTTTTTATAGGGTTGGCAGTGTGGTGACTCCCATTTCAGAAATGCCCTTGCACTCAAAGGGCTTGAAGAGCTGTGCCTGTTCATGCTGCTTCAGCACCAATCCAAGTGAGTTAATCATAAAGGGTTTTTCTCAGTAACCTCACCTTTGATCTAGAGAAGACCTTTGAAAAGTTGTAGGTTAGCTACATTTTAAGATAGGAATAAAAATGCATTTGACATCATGTGGACTGCTCTAGTTTTGATGCAATTTTATAACTAAAATGTTTTAGATAATGTTATTTGTAATCTTTTATTACTTTTAACAAAGCTATAGACCTACAGTAGGGACAAGTCAATTCCAGACTCTTTCCAAGTATTTTTTCATAGTTGTGCCACTGTTTAATGATGACTTTGACGTCTGGCATACCATTGGTATATTCAATCTTTTTGATTAATCTAGATTAAGGTACTCTTAAGTATCCTAAAGAAAAAATGAAAACCCAGTTCCCAGATTCTCCTCAAACCAGGATCTCTGAGTATTTTGTTGTCATTTTTTCTTGGTGTGTGTCATGGTTTAATCCCAGATGGCAACTGAGTACCATGCATGATTCTGTCCCCTAACAGAATTACCCAGAGCTTCTGTCACGTGCTAAGTTTAACTGAAGAGGTGCATGTTTTCTACAGGAAGACTTCAAAGGGTAATAACTTTAACTTTCTTGGATGTTCAACTTCCAGTCACCCTGTTTCCCAAAACCCAGACTTCTTCAGTGATGCCTATCAGCTGTCCTAAGACACAAGCCCATATGTACTGTGGCTGTGAATAACCCTGACACCACCTCTCCGCTTCGCCAGCTTCTCGGCGCAGCGAACTTGCAGCGAACTTACCGGAGCCGGTAATTCTACATTGCTGCTGGCGAAACCGGCGGCTTCGCGGCTCCGGGAGCGCGGAGGCCGGCGGGGCCTCCGAGGGGGACAACAG